CATCTCCTCCAGGAAGCTTTTCTTGCTTTAACATGAACAAGATTCTGCCCTCACAAAGGAAGCACACCTATCTATCTATTCTCTTCACAGTGCCTGATGCTAAATGCTTAATAAATGCTTGTTGACGACTTATTGCACTCTTCCAGTCATTTGCTTGCTTATTTCCCTTATTAGAACATAAGCTTCACTAGGGCAGATACCAAGGCAAATCTTTACACATGCCCTGGCTAAGCACTCTAACCACTGAATAACAAAGGGTGATGATGAAGAATTGAAAAGTTACAGAATGCAATGTTATCGATCAATGATGGTGAGTCACAGCTAATGCAAATAGCATGCTGATTATTGTTAGCCATCAATTGAAATTCAGATGAGAGGAAGGTTTATTCTTAGGGCCACCCGGGAAAACTAGGGCTCACCAGAGCCAAAAAGAATTAAAAGCATGTCAGGTGGGCTCTTTACCACACCTTTTCATACTTGGTGAATGAGGAATCTTGTCACATCTTGTCAATTCTGCATTGTTCATTTGAATGGAATGGTGCAGGGAGACCAGCCCGACTCCCTTAACTCTTTCCATGTCACTCTGGAAAGAGAAGACTGCTTAGCACCTGAAGAAAGGAAGTCTCTGTCTGCATTCTGAGAAAGCCATCTCATTCACAAAAGGTGCCTATTGGCTTGCAATTGGTGCTACACCAAAAAGCTGTTTGGTGAAAGGTTTTTTATTTGCTAAGGAAATGTTTCTAACTGTTTTTGTTGTTTGAACCAGGTATTCTATTTTATTAATCACAGCTTAAATTGTGTTAACTTTGGTGAATAGTTATTTACACACCATTTACGCACAACTGGTGTGATGATGATTTAGTATCAGACATTACAGACATTTTAGGTGTGTGCTAAATTGAATAACATCCTCCCAGTTTCTTTTACTGATCAATTTTTTCCATCTTACTAGCTGGTCATCACCTAAAGTGTTTAACTGAGTGTCCACATCATTCGCAATTATAATGCTCTCTTTCTTGATTTGTAGATTGCTGTGTGAGCATCCTGAAGTCTTTTGCTTAGCTAGATGGTGTAATGGATAGAGCTTTTGACCTGGAGTTAAAAAGACCTAAGTTCAAATTCATCCTCAAACATTTGCTGGTTCTGTGACCTGGGGTAATTTACTTAACCTTGATTTCCTCAGCTGTAAAGTGGAGGTAATAATAGCATCTCCTAGGTTGTTGTGAGAATAAATTGAGATAATAGCTATAAAGTCTTTTACAAACTTTAAAGTATTATATAAATGCTAGCTATTATTATTGTTTTTGTTGTTATTGGTCATTATTATTATTAAACAGCAAGATGTAGTAGAAAGACCATTCATTCAACAAGGAGTTAAAATGAATCAGTCATCCAGAATTTAATAAGCACCTATTATGCACTAGGCATTGTGCTAGGCTTTGGGAATATAGAAGCAAAATAAAAATGGTCCTTGTACTCAAGGAATCTGAATTCTATCAGAGGTTTCGGGGAAGCAATTGTTACATAAATGTTGTTTTTCAGTTTTTTCAGTCATGTGTGACTACTCCATTTGCGGTTTTCTTGGCAAAGATATGGAGTGGTTTGCCATTTCCTTCCTTCAGTTCATTTTACAGATGAGGAAACTGAGGCAAACAAGGTGAAGTGATTTGCCCAGGGTCACATAGCTAGTAAGTATCTGAGGCCATAATTGAACTCAGGAAGATGAGTCTTCTTGACTCCAGGCCCAGCCTCTATCCACTGTACCACCTAGCTGCCCACAGTTACATAGATACAAACAGACAAAAATATACTAAATACAGAAAAGTTAAATTTTGGCGGGGAGGTAGGTAGTTGGGGATCAGGAAACATTCCCTATAAAAATGGTTGTTTCAGAATATCTTTGAAAGGAAACAAAGGATTCTAGAAAGAAGAGCAGAGGTGCTAGCACATTCCAGGCATGGGGGATAGTTGGTTCAAAGGCATAGAGATGGGGGAGCTGTATGTAAGGAATAGGAAATAGTCCAGTTTTGGTTGAATTGGAAAGTTCAGGAATGGGAGAGATTGAAAGAGAGGAAAAGGTATTACATGCATTATTTCATCTCTCCCTCCCTCCTCAATATTAAGGAAAGCTGAAGGAAGTTACATTGTTTATTACTCATATAGATGAGTAAGCTGAGATTTATGGAGGAGTCAAGTGACTTGCCCAAAGTCGCATACAAAGCGAGTCTGTCAAATTCTGTTTTCTTTTTCAAAGTCAGTTGAATTCATAATTAATTATCTTCAAATATTTGGCTGGTGTAACTTTTCAAGTTACTAGCAATTGAATTGAAGAAATCTTTGGGGCTTTTCCTGCATAGTCAGCTCATTTAAAAAAAAAATGAGAACTTTAATCACAGTAAGGTTACGTCTTTATAATTCCAAAACAACCAACTTAAAAAAAAAATGAAACATTCAATCAAACTAGTTAGCGGCAACGTTGTGAAAGGAAAAAATTAATTAAAAAAACTTAAATTATTTAAATGTAGTTTTTGTTTTAAAGACTGAATTCAGTCTGACCAGTTTAGCTATTGCTTAAATTATGATGACAGCTGCATTTATGAGTCTCATGCTACTCAGGTAGAGAGCTAACTAGCTATCCTACAGGTGGGTGTATAGATGAGTTGATTTGGGATCTGTTTGATAAAATAAACTATTTGAATTAGTATGTGGAAAACCCAAAGCATCTGTACAAATTAAGGTCACATTCATGTTGGGCAATTGGAAGAATATTTAGATGGGAAGGCAAGGGAAGGGAATAAGCATTTACATATCACTTACTATGTACCACACATTGCTAAGCATTTTACGAATATTATCTCATTTGATCCTGACAACAAACTGTTGAGATAGGTGCTGTTATTATTCTCATTTATTGAAGAAACTCAGGCAAGCAGAGGTCAAGTGACTTACTTGCCTAGGGTCACATAGCTTGTAAATATTCAAGTTCAAATTTGAACTCAGGTCCTCTTGACTCTTGGCTCAATACTCTATCTATTGTGCTACCTAGATTCATAGAGCCTTCAATGAACACATATTTTTTTATGAGACAGGTTGGTATAATGAAAGGCCCTGAAGAAAGAGGACTGAACTTGTTTTGTGAGGCCTTTTTTAAGTTTTAAAAAAAATTATTTATGCATTTTTTTGTGATGTAGTCATTTCTGAATATATTTCTCTCCCTTCTCTTGTCACAAAGGAAGCAAAAGTAGTTAAGCAAAATCTACTGACACAATGTACAAACTTCCTGATAGTATAAGCAACATTGTATACCTATAGCTCTCCCACCTTTCCATTAAAAAAGGATTCTTATTTCCTCATCTCTTTTCTGGGGCTAAGATTGGGCATCATTCCCTGGTAGTTAGCTTTATTTGGTTATTTTTATTTATATTGATATTATAATGCTTGAAGGTTTAGAAAGTACTTTCTTAACAACCACCCCCTGAGGCAGTGTCATTTCATAGCATTATTGTCTACCTGGTTCTGCTCACTTCAGTGTATCAGTTCATACGTGACTTCCCATGTTACTACAAATCCATTATGTTTATAGTTTATGATACAATATTATCCCATAACATTCATATACTTGAAGTTGCTTAAGCTGTTTGCTAATTCATGGGCACCCACTTTGTTTACAATTCTTTGCCAACCTGGATTTGAATTCTGGCTTTCCTTTTCATTATTTGTGTGACATTGGGCAAGTCACTTAACTTCTCTGGACCTCAGTTTATTCATATGTAAAATGAGGTGATTGTACTAGAATGGGGGGAGGGGATCTGCAGCCAGGAGACCACATGTGTCCTTCCAGGTCTTTGGTTATGATCTTTTGACCGAGTCCAAGTTTTATGGAACAAATCCTTCTATTAAGGGGATTTGTTCTGGGAAGTTTGGATTCAGTCAAAGGGCTGCACTTGAGGACCTAGAGGACCTTGAGGCCACAGGTTCCCTACCCCTGCACTAGATAATCACCACCATCCCTTCCAACTCTAAAATTCTAATCCTATAATCCTCTGCAAACTGGCAGAATCATAGTTTACATAAAGAACACTTAATGGTGGTTGGCACATCTAAGACCTAAATCACCATTCCCAGGAACAACTTTGAGATAGCAGTTATTTACTGACATCAATATGAGATACCCAGTGAGGCTGCATAACATTATCATGCTTGACTGCCTTGTTTGTTCTGAGTGGGTTGTTTCCTCTTCCTGTACAAGTCACTAGGCAGAACCTCCTGAAATATTGCCTTTTCATGTAATACCACTTCTGTTAAACAGAATGCACATTCAAGAAAACCACCTATGGTGCTATTGAAGATCTTATAATACTGAACAAGAAGTTACAGGAGAAATGGGTTAGGGTGCTACTCATTTAACAAAGGAAAATTTAAGATCTTAAATTTAACTCTGATGCTTTGCTGTAATATTGAAGTTTAAACACAAATCAACATCATAGAGTAGGATTTGGAGCTGAAAGACACTTTAGAGATAACTAGTCCAAATCTTTTTTTGGAGATGAAGAAACTGAAACCCAGAGGGTGGAACAAGTTGATCACAGCAATAAGCTTTCCAACCTAAAAGCAGAGCCAGGATTCCAATCCAGATCTTTTGACTCCAAATTCAAAGTACCGAGATTCATAGTCTGGTTTATTTTAATGTTGATCGCACATAGTATGTGTTTAATAAGAGTTTGCTGAATAGAATTATGTTGCTGAACATTTTTGTTTTTGGAATTGTACGCTGGGATTAGATTGCTTTGTGTGTTAGATGGGGTTTATATGCTGAAAGGATACAACATGTATCAGTTCCTCTTCCACCCCAGTACAATGTAGGCTTCTTGAAGGAAGGGACTAATTTTTGCCTTTCTTTACATCTCCAGTAACTAGGATAGTATCTGACACACAGTAGGTACCTAATAAATGCTTGTTAAATTGAATTGAATTTTTATGTGGATTTACTTTGTATCCTACTATTTTACTAAAAATTATTGTTTCAACTAATTTATAGTTGTCTTTAGTTGTCTTTAGTTGTTTTATTACCTCATTCCCTATTCTGATTCCCTCTATTTCTTTTTCTTCTTTTACTACTATTGCTAGCATTTAAAAAAATGTTAAAGAGTGAATGGAGTTTTCCTAAGGGATATTTTTAAAGCCTCCTTTCCAATGGAATGTTCTGATTAATAGAATGAAAATATGATTTACCTCAATATTCAAATACACAGATTTATCATAGTACTTCTTTTCTAATCAAAGTTGGTCAACAAGTCAGGTGCAGAAGATCTTTTGAAAACAGAACACTACAACTCTGACTTGATAGACACATCCCCTGCTTGGACTCTCCTTTCCCCTAATGTTCTTCTGTTGTTATGGAGACTTCTAGCAAAATGTACTTTTGTCTTCCACATGGTTCAATATCTTGGCATGCTCTGCTGTTACCATGGAGATATTTGGACATGAATTTTGCTGTTCCTTTCAGCAGCAGAGCACCTTCTTGTGCCTCAGGCAGCTGTGTGATGTCACTGGGTGACTGCAGGCATCTAAAAGAGAAGAGGAAAATTGCAACTAGTTCCAACCTGTTCTCTAATTGAACAAACAAACAAATAAACAAACAGCAGTGAAATCCACACTGGGGAAGGGGTGAGAACTTTACTTGAAACCACTATCCTTTAGAACAAGAATATTATTGAATATCCAGGTGTTGGAAAATTAATGTTGTCGATGACCAACCTAATTTAAGACGAAGAGGAAAGTAGGGAGTGAGAATGGATTTACATGTTCATTGTTTCAGCCCATTGAAATTATATTATTAAACCTTGATCATCATTTAGCATCAATTCTCTTCTTTCTGTCTCTCTCACTCTCTCCATATATATATATGTGTATATACATATGTGTGTAGATAGATGTTTTTGTTCTGATTAGTTCATTATTGACTAATCAGAAGATTTGGATTTCTGCTACCTCCTAGATGTGTGACCCTGGCCAACTCACTTAACTTCTGAGTCTCAGTTTATCTGTAAAATGGTGATAGTAGTACCTGCACTACTTATCTAAGACAGTTGTTGTCAGGAAAGCACTTTGTAAAACATGAAGCACTATATGAATGTTAACTATTATTGTTTGAGTGGTAAAATCAAGGGGCAGCTATGTGGTACAATGGATAGAGTGCTGGGCCTGAAGTCAGGAATATTCATCTTCATGAGTTCAAATCTGGCCTCAAGCATTTACTAGCTATGTGACCCTGGGCAAATCATTTTAACCTGCTTCCCTCAGTTTCTCATCTGTAAAATGAGCTGAAGAAGGAAATGGCAAACAGCTCCAATATCTTTGCCAAGAAAACTGCAAATGGGGTTGGATACGATTGAAAAATTACAACAATAAAATCAAAGAAGTGATTGATGAATATATTTTTTATATCAATGGTGCATTATTATTTAGATTAGAAGAGGGAAGAGTTCTGATGGCAATATATCAGCTTTTTGAAGGGATAGACCACCTTGTTTTGTTTTTGTATTGCCAGCCTCTAGCACCAAGCCTGACGGGCAGTAGCACTTAATAAATACTTGTTGATTTGAATTGGATATTGAAATCTGTTTCCATTTAAAAGTTACATTGTTTAGGACTCTATAGGGAGTAAAGTAAAACAGGCCCCATAGGGAAGTTATGAGGGTAAATGAAATAATATGTATGAAATTAGTTGAATTTCTCAGAAGAGATGTCATAACATTGAAGATATGAATTAAATCTCATTAGATAAAATCTTACTTTGAAAACCTCTGTGCATAAAAATTTCCCAGACCCTGACCCATGGTCCACTCTTTCAAATAGCACAGATGATGGTTTTGGCACAAAAAGTGCCGGACAGCTATGGGGAGTTCAATGCAATGAAATCTGCTAGATTAAATTCTACTTTAGCTTGATCTTCTGAGGAACCTGCCTTTTGCCAGTACAATGAGCAAAAATGTTCTTCCACCTACTTCCATAGTTGCTACTGAAATTAAACTTACATTCTATGGAAAGGGAACAGTATATCTGAGCCTCCAGCACTGATCCCCTTTTTCCCAAGGGTTCTATAAGCAACTGGATATTCATGTGTGCAGACATATGGACACAGACACAAACAAGTATGATCTTACTGGAAACAGAATGTATTATACTTCTCATGGAAAGTGTTTTTCTATATTTCTATATCATTTGCATGGTAGCCAGAAAGGACACTTTGATTGAAAGAGCATTGGCAGAAGCAACTAGGTGGCACAGTGGATAGTGCACTAGGCTTGGAGTCAGGAGGACCTGAGTTCAAATCTGGCCTCAGACCAGACACTTCACACTAACTAGCTGTGTGACCCTGGGAAAGTCACTTAACCCTGATTGCCTCAAAAAAAAAAAAGAGCATTGGTGTTGGAGTTACAGGATATAGGTTCACATTCCATCAAATACCCATTTAACCTTAGGCAATTCACTTAACTTCTCACTAGCCTCCTTGCTATCCTTCTCACAAGACATATCTTTGCCTTAATCTGACTTAAATCTTATATAGGTTGTATTTTCATGTGTGCTTCATTTGTTTTGCCAACTAAATCATAAGCTCTTTGAAAGCAGGGCATCCACAAATCCCTAAAATCACACTGGCAAAATATCTTGCTTTTAGTAGGTCTCTGATAGTTATTTGTTGGTTGATTTGTTGAATGAATGTGGTTGAGGTTGCCAGAAAAGAGAATAGAGTGCACCTGTGCAGCAAGAAGAATGGATAGGGATGGATATAAAAGATGAGTACTATGATAAGAAATGTTAATTCCTAAAAGAATAAAAATGTGAATTAATTCTTAATTAAAATTCTTCTGAAGTTTGCTGATAGCTGTCAGATGTGGTTGCTTGGTGTTTGCTAAGTAGTTTTCCTTTATTACAAGGTACAATGGATGGAGGGGCATATCAGGAAATGACTAAAATTTAAAAATGAAAGGCATCAATAAAACACTTTTAAAAGGTCTGTTGATAGGTGTTTGGAAATTGGAAATCTCTTTTAAGTGGAAGAATATAAAGGAAAATTAAAACACTCAAACCTCAATATGGATAATAGAATTACAGTCTCTACTGAGAAACATCTGAGTTTGAGTATAGTGATAGCTAACTTTGGTTAAACACAAATTAAACAGAAATGGACTTGTGAAAAAAATGTTTCATAAATTTTATTTCACATATAAGTGAATAGAAAAACAGGCATGCATTTAGTATGTACTGATTTTAAATTATGAAATGTGTTACCAGAAACATTGCCTGAAAGATTAAGCTCTGTGTAGATGGTTTCAACACTCCATACATCAGTGGTGAGGAACCTGTGGCCTTCTAGGTCCTTGGGTGTGGCCTTTTGACTGAATCTGAGTTTTTGAGAACAAATCCTTTTATTCTGGGGATCTGTTCTGTGAAGTTTGGATTTAGTCAAAGGGCTGCACTTGAGGATCTGGAGGGCCACATGTGGCCTTGAGGCCGAAGGGGTGGTTTTGCCTCCAATGACACAGACTGTAGCCCTTCCCAATCTTAACTGATGCTTCATCAGTTATTGTGATCAATGAAATTCACCAATTGGTGAAGGTTTGGGTGGCAACTTTCTTTGAACTTAATGGCTGAATTGGTCCTTAGACAACAGTCTAGAGCTTGGACTAGAACCTGAAACCTTTGGTTTGGTAGGGCTTGCCAGAGCTTGGGATCTGCTGGTATTGATTTGATAACCTAAGGTTATCCTGTGTGTTACAATGAGGAATGGAGGTGAACCTGGTGACCCCATTCAGGTCATTCTACAGTGGAGGGCTCTAGAATATATGCCTAAAAGAAATTCAAATAAGTAAATAATAGTTTAATAAATGGTAGGAAGTCAGAGTTAAAATTCCTTAATGGAAAAAAAGAACCTTAGCTGACTTGGTTATACAGTGGGACAAGAATTCTCTAATTTATGTATGTGTGTATACACCTAGTGGCCTCATTAAAGTAGTTTCTATTAATAATATACTTATATGTGTATATACATGTCTATGCATTCATGTATACACACATATATACATATGCAATTTTCTACAAATCCATTCCTGTTTAGTTTGTGTTCAGCCAAAGAGACCAGTTAGCTGTCAATATACTCAAACTCAAATGTTTCTCAGTAGAGACTAAAATTCTACCATTTATATTTAAACTGAGGTTTCAGTGGTTCACTTTTCATTTATAGTCTTCCTCTTAAAAAGATTTTGTTGTTTAGTTGTTTCAGTCGTGTCTGACTCTTCATTGACCCCATCTAGGGTTTTCTTGGCGAAGATACTGGAGTAGTTTGCCATTTCCTTCTCCAGTTCATCCTACAGATGAGGAAACTGAGGCAAACATGGTTAAGTGACTTGTCCAGAATCACACAGTTAGAAAATATCTGAGGCCAGATTTGAACTCAGATTGTCCTTATTATATTTATGTATATGTATGTGTATATACATACATATTTGTATAAAATAAGATATATTCTGTATAACATACATATTACTAAAAGGGAATACTTTAGTGAGGCCACTAGTTGGCATAGCAAATAGTGTGCTGAACTTGGAATCAAGAAGACTTTCACTTGAAATCTGCTTTAAAGACTAGTTGTATGAGATCCTAGATGAGTCACTTAGTCTCTCTCAGCCTCAGTTTCCTCATCCATACAATGGTGATGATAATAACACCTCCCTCATAGGGTTGTTTAGAGGATCAAATGAGATTATGTATGTAACACTGCAAACCTTAAAGTGCTAAATACATGTTAGCTATTATTATTTTGATTGTTATTTAAGAACATCCACAATCACAATGGATAGAAAGCAAGTCTCAGAGTCAGGATGGCCTGGGTTCAGGTCTGATGGGCTGACACATATTTCTGCTATTAGGTAACTCTCTAAGATTACATGTTGCAAAACAGTTGCAGATCTGCATTGATAGATGACAAATTGGCAACTTTCTCATCAGGAAGCTCCTTCCACTGATGAAATCATGGGCCCAGACACCCCCCCCCCCCCCCCCCCCCACACACTCTTTCTCTCTCCCTCTTTCATATATATATATATAATATACATACACACACACACACACACATATATATACATTAAGATCGTTGTACCTAATATGGTCCTCAGAGTGAAACAGGCATAACAGGAAGGAAAATGCAGAGTAATATAGCTCGGGTATTAAGGGACAGTGTGATGGAAACAATTACAGAGGATTGGATTTGGGGTCTGAATACCTGCCTGAGTATTAGCTCTGCTACTTACTGGACGTATGACTGTGGGCAAATTGCTTACTCTCTCTGGGCCTCAGTTTCCTTATCTACAAAACTGGGGGAAGATGGTCAATAAGCATTTCCCACACTGAGTTCTGTAGAACACTGATGCTCTGTGTAATATAAATAATGATTCATAAAGAACGATTTGAGGTTCATGGTACTTTTCCTATAAACTATTATACATGAAATTAGTTATTAAAAATACTTATATATCACTAAGCATCCTGGCCCTCACTGACTGAACAACAAGACATGATTTATTTTACCCCTCCCCCAGAGTTCTCCAATAACCTTAAAGGGCTTGGGCTTATCTAGGCTCTCTATAAATGGTTCCCACCCCCCATTGATGGTGTTCCCTCTGATTTTAGGGTTGGTCTCCTACAGTCCAGTTCCATTTAGTCACTAATAATTGGATTAGCTTTTACAAAGGAATATTCACTTCAAGAGATATAATTACAATATACAAATTTACTGTCCAAAATATGCCCCCTAATCCTCCTCCCCCCTTGCACCACTTAAGTCTCTAGGGAAGGGGAAGAGATTAGGTTCACAGCTTAGTGTGCTTCCTATAGTATATAGTTCCAGTTCCAAGTCCAACCTCTCCCCCTCCTTGGCCTCAAGTCCCAGGTGGCCTGGCTTCTCTGGGCTTTCCTGCCAGGCTGGCTGGCTATCTATCCGCAGCATCCTGTCTGCAGTCTTCTGTAATCCAGATTCTGATGTCACCATGGCTCAAATCCGGTGGGGATAGACCAGGCATCTAAAATGGAAAAGGACAAACAATCTAGAACAGAAACAGATACCCTCAAACCTGTTTCTTGGACCAAGAGTAAAACAGGGAGGGTAGGAGAAGAAAATCCTTACCAGTTCATGGTGCCCATACTGTGCGTGAACCATGAAATCTTCAGCCTTGGGGCACAGCAGGAAAGAAAGCACAAGAAAGAAACTAAAAAGAGACCAAATCTGGCCAGTTTTTAAAACAGGGCCTCTTCTAGCCATGCTGCCAATCAAAGGAGGCCATTGCCTTACCATGTGGTAGAGGATGCAGAGAGCTTCCGTGTTAGGCTATTTGGGCACTCTCAAGGCAAGTCTCTCAAGGTGCCCCTACATTAGGCTGTCTAAACTTATTCCAATCCCAATTACATGTGTATGCTTTGATTTTTTTTTAGTGCAAAAATACACTTGATTTCATCTATTTTATTTCAAAATAGCTTTGTAGCTTCATTATACAAGGGTTATTTCAAACTCCATGCTTCCCTCTTTAAGACCAGCACTTATTGGCTACATTTAATGTATTTCAAGTTACAAAGAACAAATTACTTTGTAAAATACTAAACTAAGTCATAGTATCATAGATTTAGAGCTCAAAAGACCCCAGAGGTTAAATGTTTCAAGCCTCTTATTTTATAAATAAAGAAACCGGGGCTCAATGAAGTTAAGAAATTTACCCAAGGTCATTGAAATGTAGCAAATGGCAGAGCTGAGACTTGAACCCAGGTCCTGTGAGTTCAGACCCGGGGACTTTTTCCCTATAGCACCCTGCCTAAACTCCTTTGCAGTTCTATGATTTAACATTCATGATTTACGTTAAGTAGAGAAATATAGGAGAAGTGGGCATATGGAATGAATGTCAGATGTCAGGTGAGATACCTAACTAAAAAAAAAAAACAATGCTCAAGATGAAAATAACTTCTTATGCGATTGATATAGTTGAGAGTAGGGCTTGCATGGCATAAAATAATTAGTTTACCAGAGGTCTATTCAGTCATATAAAAGTTATATACTATATATGCAAATAAACATAAGCCTTCATGTGCAGGGCTTGTGAGACACTGGCAGGAAAGCCCATAAGATGACCCCAAAGTAACATAAGACATTCCATGGAAATGGGTGTCTGTGGTTAAAAAAATTTTCTTTAAAAATGTATTAGCTACAGATACTTGTTCTCTTAGTATTGCAATACAGGAAATAGTAGGAGGGGGTAACAAGTGTAGGTTAAGTGATGGAAAATTATGTGGGCAGGTGAGAATATTCATGGGCCCAGAATGTTTTTGAACCTATGTACAACACCCACTAGAATGTGAGGTAATTTTAGAATTGACTGATGAGTTGATTATGGAGAAGGAAATAGCAAACTACTCCAGTATCTTTATCAAGAAAACCCCCAAAGGGGTCACAAAGTATGGGACATGACCAACTAAACAAAGACGAGCTGATAGTAATTTCACCGGCATTTATCACTTCACTTGAGTGCTTGAACAGCTTGACCTTGAATGTCAAACTAAAAGTAAATACCAAAAGATATGATGACCTCCTTTCCTTCCTTTTTCTCTCCACCCCTCTCCTTTTTGTTTCTGTCTTCCTTGTCTCTGTGTCTCTATCTCTCACTCTCTATCTCCCTCCCTCTCTCTTCTATGAGTACATACTTTTCAGAGACCATTCTACCAACTTGCACCGGTGGAAAGTTTTCATTTTCATAGTTTGAATCAAAGGATCTAGTGTTCTACCTTGTCACGATAGATTCTGATTCCAGATTTTGACTGAATCCTAAACAAAAGTAGAATGTTAGAGTTAGCATATGTTATATTACACTGAGGCCCTGAGCCAGGAATATACAATCCTGAATTACTTACCATTTTCTTAACTATTAGTTGCATGCTCTCCTAAGAAAGATAAATCCTTAAGCTCTCCAAAAGATCTCTGCTTTCACAGCTCTGAGTTCTCTCCTAATTGATGAACATTACAATTCCCATGTGTCTTAGAAGATAGTTTTATGAGTTCCCCCAAAGTTAATAATGTAGTGTCCCATTTTATAGTGATGAGAAGAAAATAATTGTTGGATAGGTAATATGGTGAATAGAATACTGGACTTGTCAGGAAGACCTGAGTTCAAAGCCTCCTTCAGACAGTTGCTAGCTATAGCTATGTGACCCTAGGCAAGTCATTTAGCTGCTCAACTTCACCTATAAAATGGGGATAAAATTAGTCATCCACCTCACAGGATTGTTACAAAGATCAAAGGAAATTATATTTGTAAAGCACTTTACAAATCTTAAGACACTATATAAACAAGCTATTATTATTATTATTATTATTGTTAATTACTTTATTAACAGCTCAAGTGAAATAAGTAGCAAAAATAGCCTTGCCCCTTTTTATTGATAGTGAAACTGAGGCTTAGATGGCCTAAGTGATTTGCTCGTGGTCATACAACTAGCAAGTGTCAGAATCAGAAGTGGAACACCCAAGTCTTTTATCAGCTATTATTACTATTATTATTATTATTATTACTAATACCCTCAGAAAAACTAGAAGTTCAAATATTTTCAGCTTGTAAATAAAAGGCATTTTTTCTCTGGAAGCTTCATTTAGAATGAACTTAAAGTCTACCTCTAAGATAAGATCTAACTAAATTATATCTTATTGTTCAATTTCAGGTTCATCATTATACCTTTGCATATTGCTCACTCTGGGAACTTACAGCCTAATACAGGAAATCATCATGTGAACCGAGACAGCAATATTACATATATAAAAACTAAATTGCATTTCAGAGCACTTTACCAATGATAGACATTTTACCAGATCTATTATTCTATTTAAAAACTCTAATGATTTCCTTACTAAAATAGGGCAAAAGACAGTGTTTCCTTTTTGTAAGTAACACATTTGAAAGTTCCTCTTTTTGGAGGAGGGGGTGGGGTCAAGAGATCTACATCTCAAAGTTGAACTATAATACACTCATCAGTTATTTGAGCAAGACTTCCAAAACATAATGGAACTTGGAATAGCTATACAATATTATGAGAAGACTGGAAATATAAAGAACATTAATATTTTAGCAGTTCTGTTACTGATATGATTAGTGTCACCAATGAAGACTTAAGCAATAGTAAAACTATTCTATTTTTTTTTCCAAAACAGTAAGATAAAACACCAACTCAGTAAATGTAAAGCTTGGGAGTCATATAGACATTGGTTCACAGGAAAAGACAGTTAGGTATAGTCCTGAATTTTCTCACTTTTATTACCCTAACACTGCCCATTGACTCTTAGGCATGTTGATAAGAATTCATGGTTTTCCACCCCTACTCCCACCCCCTCACCCACTAAAAAGCAGACTGAATCTTGGCGCTTGGGTCAAGACACTAGTGATACAACTCATTGCCAATTCAGGCAGCAGAGTGAATGTACAGAAAGCACAGGAAGATAGCTCTTTTGAAATAATAAAGCTATCACCTTACAGCTATTCTATTATTTATCCTTGCAACATCCCTAAGGAATAGGTAGGGGCAGGTATTGTTATTTCCATCTCATAGGTGGAAAAACTGACACCCAGAAAGGTTAAGTGATTTACTTAAGGTCACATAGTGAGCCAGTGATGGGATACTAGACCTCCTGACTCCCTAGCAGCATTTTCCCCATTAAATTTGATTGCTATTCTTAAGAAACTTGGTGGGCAGGTAACACTGCATTATATAAATAAATTCCTTTCTGATGAATCAATAAAGGAATAGGAGGCTGCACCCATATTTCAAAATAGGAAAGGTTCCCACAATGTTGGACCTACCTTGGGTACTTGGCAAATTGGCTGGGCCTAAATTGGCTGCTGGTCATGGTGCTCAGTATCTTAGGGGAGTCCATTGTACTTAGAAACAAAGTTACTTGCCATACGGTTTCTTTTAAATTATGAAGTTCTTTTGGCATTTGTGGTCTTACGCAGGGCTAGCCCTAGACAAAATTCTCAAGCTGGCACAATTAGTTTTGGTTCCCTCTCTTTTCCTTTATCATTTTCCCCTCCTCTCTCCTACTTACTCCCTTAAATTAACTCCCTCTCCCTCTCTGCCTTTGACATTCCCTTATTACAAGGGCCTAGACTAAGAAGGTGTTAATTGATGCTGGTTTAAGGTGTTACTTCTTTTAGATTGATTTGCATTTTAATGGGAGTCTGTGGAAGAGGGAAAAAGCCTTGAATGAATTTCTAAGCCAGTACAGGTTTGTAGGGATAACTCCCCCCCCCCCCACTTTCAAATCACATCATTCAATCACCTATTTCAATCATTCACAAAGCCAGCCCTGGTAAATTCATCAGTGAATTTACATGTTATTTTCCATACCACTTCATGACCCCCCCCACCCCCATGGTCTCTAATTCTTCACTTCTTCCTGACCTAAGTAAATGGTTATGTTTTAAATGTCTCTGAAACTGATGGTAATAGTCACAGAGCAAAATTCCATGGTTCTTACAAGGTTGGTGAGAACATGCTTCACCATAGATCCTGGAGCAGGAAGGGACCACAGAGGTTACTACACTTGGAAGTGTTTTTTTTTTTTATTTTTAAAAATCAAAATGGCAGGGTGGGGCTCAGGTACTTAAGCTTTTGCAAAAACAAACCCTGGTTGATATATTCCTGGTATAAGGAGGGAGTGTAGAGCATTGAACAAGATCAAATTAAGAGGTTCCCCAATCAAACAGATGCATCCACCTTAAGTTAGTATATTTTCATGACTCTGTGAGTAAACAGCTCAGATTTCAGAAATAATGGAGGAAATTTCTAAAGAATCAGCTGGCAGTCAAATAATCCTTTGTCAGTCTGCTGCATTTCCCACACAATGACAATGGAAACCTACTATCAGTCAGGCATGAACTCAATTTTTTTGTTCTCTCCCTCCTTCCTCCCCCTTACTCCCTCCCCCCCACCCACTGATGGATTTGCACTGATCTGTCCCTGCTCACTTACCTGCTTCTCTTTGTAATCAAGGGCAAGCTCTTTGAGATGGCTTACCAAGATTGTGGATGCAGTTTGTAGGCTTGGAGCAGGCTCTCTCTGTGTAAAGGGAACTTGCCCATACAGGGATGGGAAATATGACCTTGGCCTCATTAGTAGGCTGGTTTAGTGGAGCTTGCTAAGCAGCCCAGACTACAAAGAGCCAGAGGATGGATAGCACACACATGACCATTCACTTTGTAATCAGCTAACATATAGGTTGTGTCAACACGCACATACACTGGTTGGAATGTTTTGACTGTCAAGTCACTCAAGAAAACAGTCAAGTCAGTCAACACGCTTGTCTGACTTTTTTTTTTTTTTGGACAGACTAGACTTTTTTGTACTGATTTAACTGGATCGTGTGTGTAGACACAGCCAGTTTTTACTTGCCAAAAAAGGAGTGTTTTTCAAATGTAACTTAATGAAATAGCTAGGTTACAGCATATAAATTCACTTCTTTATGAATATGTGTCAGGCTATCAAATAAGCAAAGAGTATATTCTCTCTCTATTTTTTCTTCCTTGTTTGAAATTATAGCTAGAGCAGATTGATTCTTGATTAGATGAATTCATAGTGCCATCTAGTGTTCAGATTCAAGATTATCAGCACTATGAAAAGTTTTAATCAGACATTTTCTTGATTTATTATAACGGAAACAATAGCGACAGCATTGTACTTTCTCTGTTTAAATGGTGCATTTGGATGAGTACTTGCCCTGGTACATTCCATTCTAAGTGTGAAGAAAGTAAGCTATCTTAACTAGTGGCACAAGAAACCCAATGATGCTGGGATTGAATTGATTAGAAAAAAATTATTTTACAATCATAGATTTAGAGCTAGAAGGGACCTTGGAGGTCAGATAGCCTAAAATCTCTTGTTTCACAGATGATGAAACCCAGGCTGCAGAGATTAAGTGACTACAACACACTTGAAAAAAATATAAAAATTATCTAAGTATGTTCTTCCCTCCTGTGCTTTCATCCCAGACATGTGAGAAGAGGAATGATTATCCAGGTAGGACTAATCTTATTCAGTGATCTGTAAAATAACAAAAATACTTACAGGGTTGTTTTAAGACTAAAATTAGATAATATGTGGGAAATCACTTGCAAACCTTAAATCACTATCTGAATAAGTATTATCATTATTAATGAAAGGTAACCCAAGGGAAACTGAATCACCATTCCCAGAAATGTGACATTAAGCTGAGCAATATTAGCTCAGAAATCAGTTTACATTATTTATCATTTGTGACATGGCTCATATCACTAAATCATATTCCCAAAAAAATTTTATAAGAAAATTGATGGTGGCAGTTAAGGTTTAAAAGAAGAGGGGGCAATCAGTCTGAGACTTTAAGAAAGCAAAACACCAGCCAGCATGCAACATTGGCTGCTTTTAGCAGCTATAATACCAAATGTGCCAACTAGTGTAAGAGAATTAATTTGGTGAGTATTAATGCTAAACAAATGTATATTCCTGAGGCAAAGTAATGTCTTTTGTTTTTTTTAAATCTAGAATCCTCAGTGAAAGAAATTTTTTTTTTTCTGAAACAACAGCAGAACAGAAAGGCATGGGGAATCATTTTTGGTAAAATAGCTCAAGAGAAATTACAGTGATGTTTGGGAATAGGAAGTGTTTGATTTCACCTGTTGGAGACATCAGTCAATTCCCTTTAGCCAGACCTGGCCATCACATTGCTGAGTACCTCAGCTGTGAACCTTGTTGGGAGAGGGGGAGGTTCTTATGGGAATCCAGTTCTTACCTCAGCTTCATGCCCTTGAGAAATTTCCTCCTCTATCAACAGCATCTGTATATCAGAAATATAAGGAAGTACTAAGAGCTTTGAAAAAGATATTATTTTTATTTTATTTATTTTTTTGTTGAAAAGATATTATTTTAAACAAAAGACACTACAAAGTAAATCAGGGGAAACTATAGCATAACTTAAAGGAGGCAGTGTTTGGTTTTTGTATCATCTATAATATACAGCGAGAAGATAATGGATTGTAGCATAGTCCTTTTTTTTCTGGGTAAAATCTTTCTAATACATTATGGCTTCATTGGTGAGGAAAGCACTGATTACTGCTAAGGATTCTACCTTTGTTCCATAAAACATTCTCAATAGGGGATGGATCTATTACTAAGAACCATTGCTGATAGATTGTCTTTTTACAATCAAAAGCTACATTTAAATTATACTGCAAGCTTTATTCATCAAATCCATTAGAGCCAATATTTCCAGAATTCAGCTAAGCCTTTCTTCACTCTAACAAAGATTAAAAAAAATAATATAGATGAGATTTTTCTCCACTATCCCAGATTCAATAGGCTACAGATTATGAATTCATTAGTTATTGAAGCATCACCACTATATAGCCAGAGCCAATGAATTAGGTCTAAATATAGATTGACAGTTCCAAGGTTTTCACTGAAGGAAGCTGTTAAAAAAAAGTCTGATCAACTTCATTTTAAGCTTGAAAATACTTTAGATTCTTTAATATTCATCTTTAATCATAAAAGATATTGTTGTGGCTGTTTCTAATTCAAAATGGATGTTTAAGCGCTGGTTGATGGATTAATTACTTATGAAGTGCCATCACAGAGCTAGTATCATTTTTAAAATCACTTTTTCTTTTGTTTGTCCTTCTACTAATGCAAATGAGTAATTAGTTTATTACCTAGTCTCAGAGTTGTCTGGGTCACTGAGAAATTAAGTGACTTTGTGGCTGCTTAGCTATTATGTGTCCAAGATTCAAAGACTTGAACTTAGGTGGTTTTTTAATAGTTCTAATAGAATCTAAACTCCTTGAAGGTAAGAATAGTTTCATTTTGGATCTCCAGTACCTAGCACAGTGGCTGGTACCATAGTGGGCACTGAATACTTTTTGATTGATTGATTCCTCAGGCCAAAGTCAACTCCCTATCCATTACACCACATTGCCCCTCATTAGTATCATATTGAAAAAAAACTGCTCTTGAAGTTGTAAGAAGATAGGGATCTAAGCATGATCCCTTGGGGGAATTATGTACTAGAAGGACATTTATTTAGGGATTTCCAAAATAGAGCTTTCCATTAGTATTGGCATTAGTAACTGAGTAAAGTCTTTGATATTTTTGATGGAAAGGACACTTGGCTGTATCTATATTAGGACACAAAACAACAACAAAACTAGGTTTTTTAAAGTCAATTGAGGGGGTGTGTGTCATGCAATATTTACAACAAACAGGGCAAGTCTGTAATTTATTAATTTGGTTTTTTTAAAGAATTGAATCCTATTTAGGCTCTATATACACATTAACAGCTTATAGGAGAAAATATTTTTAAATTCACTTAAACATTTGCTTTGAATTGAAAAAAGAAAAGGTTAGCTATAGTCAAAAGCTGATTGTTTTAATTTAAACTTTTTTTTCCTCCTCAAACAGCAAGTAATTTAACTGAAATTAATTCTCTCCCCTCCCCCAACTCTCTTATTTTAGCTAAGATAGAATGAGGCTAATATCTCTTGAACAACAATTAGCAAATTCATGAATTATCCTGCTCATACACCAAGCAAACTGTCTGTTTACCTAATGGGCTGTGACTTGATTACAGGCCATTCCTGACTTTCGGTAAACAAAACTGTGCTTATGTTTCAGAATGATTCTGAATTTCCCAAGCCTTTTATTTCACACCAGGGAGGCCAGCATAGTCAACATTTTGATTTGTAAACACCTGTGATCAAGGCGTTAGGTATGACTTAAACTAACATTTATCCTTTGGAATCGAAATAAAAACACGAGGGCAATTCATGAATTTGGTGATTGTTCTATGGATATTAGCCCTATTCAGTCATTAGTTCCACACCCCACCACTTTGAGTTCTATGAAATAGTAACGACATTTCTGGAACATTGTTCTTACAAAAAAATTCATAGTATTTTAAATTTTCCCAAGTGTTTTTTAGCACAACCTTGTGAGGTAAGTAGTTGAATGTTATTTTACAGATGAGGAAATCTTGCCCACACTCATATAGCTAGGAAGTGTCACAGGCAGGATTTGAACCCAGATCTTCTGATCTGAGTCCAATGTTCATTTTAATTGATGCTAAAACTTCAGAAAAGAGTAACTTGTTTGCTTTTGGAAGTCAGTCTTTCAATAAACAATTGTTAAATGCCTACTATGCAACTAGCAGTGCTAAGCTAGGTGCTCAGCTCTAGGGATATAAATTTGAAAAAGACAGACAATCTCTGCCCTCAAAGAGTTTACAGTCTGATTGGAGAAAGACAACACCCAAAAGGAAGCTCCAAAAGTACTGGAAGTAACAGTCCTGGGGACACAAAGGAAAAGTCCCAAGGAATACAGCCTGGAGGGAATGAAGAGATTTCTGGACTGGGCAGCCTCCTTAAATGGTGGGTTGGGGAAGAGCTCTTCAATCAGCCCTCCAATTTAGAGGAGAAGTGGGTACTGACAAGGTATGAGTACCAAGGCTGTTGCCGTCTTGCAGGATGATGAGGTTTCTGATGACGACATTTGGTTAACCTAGGGGCATGATGGAGGAGTTTCAAAGGGGTGCAGGTGGGTGGGAAATGAAGAGATGCCTGGCCTGGGTACCGTCCTTAATTGGAGGATCTGGGTGGAACTTTTCACTCTGCCCTCTAATCAGAGGGGCTGAGGGTATTTGTTCCTTCAGGCTGTTTAGGGATTGCCCAATATGCTGATTTTAACATGAAACTTGAATTGTAATTAAATATCAATATTTAAGTATTAGTTAATTAAAGTGGCAGTGTTACATAGTATTTAGAGAATCAGACTTGAAGCAAGGAAGACCTGGATTCAAGTCTTTCCTCTGATTAATACTTGTAGTGTGATCTTGGACAAGTGATAGCCTCTCAGGGCTGTAGGCAATTTGTGAATATACTAAGTTGCAGAGAAGGCAGTGACCTCTACTGATGGAGGGAGTATATCGTGAAACCACATTTATAGTCCCTATTTTTAGTTTCCTATTCCAGGGAAATAACAGGTCTTACCTCCCCTATTAGATTACAAGCTCCTTGAGGGCAGGGGCTGTCTTTTGCCTCTTTTTGTATCCCCAGCACTTAGCACAGTGCTTGGCACATAGCAGGT